CAGGCACAGGCTTTCAGTTTGTGCTGGGGAATACTCCAATCAGAGGCTTGTCACAAAGAAGCCTCTGTGCTGGAGCCATTAATGCAACTGCACATGATCATGGGTTCTAATTGCTTCTCGATGAGCTCTAGTACTGTTCATTGAGAAGAGGTGAAGGCAGGACTCCCGGTTGTGAGTCCTGGGAAGTGTGAGTAACAACTGGGAAGTGTTTATAAGATCTGTACTTTTAGAAACTTTATTTTAAAAAAATTACAAACTTCAGATACATAAAGCACTTCAGCAAACTCATACTCCCACCCATTGCCATTGGATGGGGGACTTTAAATTATTTCAATTTCGAGAGAGAAGTACAAGTTGCCTTTTAGAGCAACTTACAAGCTATCCAATCAGAATGCTGTAATGAGAATTGAATGCTTTGAAAAGCCTTTATAAAGCCCTCGTTTTTCTGTCATGAGCCCTCATATTCAGTGGTTTTTGCAAAACAGGTGTTTTTTATTTTTATAGTCGTGGTATTATGAAATTTAATTTGGCCTTTTTTGAAATTGAAGAAAAGAAGCTTTACAAGAAAAAAGACTTCTGATGAGTAATATTTTTATATTAAAGGTAATATTTTAATGGCCCTCCCTCACTATTATTAGGGTGAAGTGGGTAGGTAAAGTTAAATATTTTTTTATGGAGGATAGATAGGGGAACCTTGTAACCTAGGGGTCTGGTGTACATGGGCACAAATTTGGTGATGGGTGGAGAATAGCATTCTTTTTACCATTTTAATTTGTTAGCCTTCATGCTGTCAAGGGTTATTTACCTATTAGACACTGGCTGCTAGCTACTTGAAATGCTCATTTATTTGCAAAAAGCAAGTGAACGAAAATTTGTGAATGTGCATTCTGTCGGGTGCATTCTGACCTGATTTTGTTTAAAATCAGAGCTTTATGGATATTCCAAATCCTACATTTTGTATAGGGTTTAGATGCAAAAAGTGCTAAATTTAGTCTGGACACCGAATGCATCCGGGCGATTGTTACAGATTTGCTCGAGTTGGACGAATTCTGACCGGATTTGGTTTTAGTAAATATAAGAACTGCCACTCCGGCGGGAATTCGGCAATTTTCAACGGATTTTGTCCATCTGGACAAAATCTATTGTTCAGTTAATAACCCTGTGTGAATAACCCTGTAGGTGTTATCATTCTTTTGATCTACAATTTACACCCAATGGTTTTAGGACTTTGTTTTTTGCAAATTTAAACATTTAAATGAATGCTAAAATGACGGGAGTTAAAATTTGTTCAGTGTATGTGTCACTTCCTTCCAACTCAAAATGTAAAATGCAGACGAATAATGCAATGTTCTCATTGGGGTAAATCTACACAAAAAAACTACAGTTAAATAGATGCAAATATTGGAAACACGCAATGCAAATCACAATCTAAAAGCACGGAAAAAGATTGATATCTGGGTAAATTCCATTCAGATATCCAGGAAATTGCTGGAAGCCAACATGTCACCAATATTTTGTGTAGTTTAGCTCATCAGTCTGACAGTTACTCTGACCACCACAAACTGCACAACATTACTTCCTTGATGTTTTGACCCCAGTTGTTTCTAATCCTTGTACTATGACACTATGACTGATACTCGTGTCTTGTTGGAATCTGAGAAGTAGTGACAGGTTTCATTATTTGTACTCGGAGCCAACTATATTCTCTCCAAACCAATAGTCAGGGCATTCTGATCTGCAACTCTTAACCCAGACATGTATGTTTGACACGTGCTACACAAAACTAAATCCAGTGACGTAAACATAAGCATTTCCGGATTAGATTTCTGCAAACATTCTGCGAAGACATTCAATGACTATTTACACGTGTCATTTGTCCGTCAGGTGTTGGAGAGTCAAGCTGTCACAAACGGGGCACAGCTCACAAAACTATTTTATAGGAAGAGTGTTAGATGCCTGGATTGGTTTTCCAGTAGAAGCAGCAAATATGATAGAATTCAGGATACGTTACACTCAGGAAGATTTGACCTCTGAGTTTTCAGTAAAGCAACTCTGTGATACCTAACCCTATAGAAAAGTGCTAAACACATGTATGTGCAAATGTACAGGCAAATTGAATTGTATAAGAAATGACTGTGTTTCTAAACATAAGAGATCAAGCAATATCTGGCTCAAATTTACACGCATCATTCAGTTGCTTTTCAAGCAGTATCTTGTTCAATATAATTAATAATAATAATGTCACTACTCATTTGAATAATAATTTAGCAATTAAAATTACCAAAGTATTAAATGTTACAAACAGTCTCACGTGCTTGCTGTAAAATTATGTCTACCTAAAGAGTATTGCATGACTCATTGTCAGAACACACGTGCCACATGTCTTGAATCATGTATAAAATATTTGACGGCTTTCATCCAATATAAGTAAAATACAACTTTGTCACTTGGCTCCAAATCACTGATTTTGTAATCATGTATGGCATATGGACAATGTACATAATACACATTCAGTCCCTGCTCCCCAACATGCTCAGCCTAATTGTGTGATCCAAGGTTGGGCAGTTTTGCCCACATCATGCGGCAGTGAAATTTCCTTA